CTCCTTCATTCCTCTCTGTACAAATTCCCTCTGAATGTTTTGGGTTTCTCGCCATGTCAAGTAGCAGCTTTCAGCTTTTGTCTCTACTCAGTCACCTGTGGCATGGACCTGCGTGGTTAGAAGGGAAAGTACCAGAGCCCAGCAGTCGGCTTCATCGGCAGCTGTCGCTTCCTCCAGGGAATGCCAGCCAATCTCCCTGTGGTCAGGGTTCACAAACAGTAGGGTCATTTGTCTATAGCCCGGGTCAGAGCCATTAAGCTCCATGATTCCAAGGTTAGACCCCTGGAAAACAGCGGTGCTAAGTAAATCCCAGGTTCACTGGCTACAGGTTTTGCATTAGAAGAGCATTTGAGGTGCTTCCTCTGGTAATTTGGAAGGGGTCCCTTTTCTTTTCTCATCAGCATCTGGGCCACAGGACACCACAAATGTGCACCTCCACACCGCTGGGCATCAGGTGTGTGTGCAATGGCAGCAAGGGAAGGAGCAGCAGAGGAGGGGGGAAGGCTGCTACCCTGACCTGAGCAACAGCTCATTAGACAACTGGAGTGCCATGCTTAATTCTCCTGAGGCTGATTGTCCTACCTTTCCAAAATTTCACAAAGGGCCAGCTGCATGCCCACCCCAGTGGTGCACAATAACAAACCGGTACGCATGGGCACCCTGAGCAGCCAGGGATGGTCGCCGGACGCTATGCAGTAACCAGAGAGTTCTAACCAGACCCTTGGTAGGTGGGGCACAAATGCAGTGGGGGTACAGTGCTGTCTCCACCTTTACAGGCAGAAGCCTCACAGCCAAACTGAACCCAAAGGGAAGTCACCTGGGGTGTAGCCAAATAACAGTTCTCTCACAGGGAGCTTTTTAGGGTGGGAAGACACAGTGACACCCCAAAAAGAAGGCAGTACTGTGCAGGTCAAAAGGCAGGCCTGCCGGCGATTGGCAGCTCTGTCCCAAAGGGCCTTTGTCGTATCACAGAACTAGTTAGTCAGTCAAGAACAATTAGTTAATGATAACTACATGAACCACATCTAAGATGGTGACCTTGTTCTTGGATGGGCCATCCTGTTCATTATGACAACTGTATTAACTGCCTCCTATTCACTCAGTTGGTGGTGGGATTCCATCTTGGTTTCAGAGGTAAAAGAGTCCATTATACTAGGCCTTGATTTCAGGCCACAGTTACTATAATTTAAAATATTTCAAAGACTATAAAAACATCTCAAATGTTCATTAATGTTGATTATATTTTCAGTGCAGAAACATATGAGAAACAAAAACCTTAATATATGGGACGCCTGGGTGGCTCAGTCGGTTAAGCGTCTGCCTTCAGCTCAGGTCATGATCCCAGGGTCCTGGGATCGAGTTCTGCATCGGGCTCCCTGCTCCGCAGGGAGCCTGCTTCTCCCTCTGCCTCTGCCTCTCTCTCTCTCTCTCATGAATAAATAAATAAAATCTTAAAAAAAAAAAACAAACCTTAATATAGAAACAAGATATTATGAAGAGAGGTAAGAAATTTATGATACTTCCAAAAAAGCTAGTAAGGCTTACAAGAGCAGAAAAGCTATAACTTAAAATAGGTTTAGTGGTTGTCAATATAAGATTTCTGAGAATGCATTGTGCCTCCCACCATGGGAAAACTGGTACCGAATACTGTGAGTTTTTAATTTTGTAAGTATAGAAGAAAGCACCTTCACAGATTCACCTACATTGCTATATGCAGGCAGGGTTGTTTATTTAATACACTTTATTTTTTAGAGTAGTTTTAGGGTTACAGAAAAATTGAGCAGAAAGTAGAGTTCCTATATACCCCTTCACTTCTACAGTTCCGTTATTCCTATCTTGCATTAGTGTGGTACATTTGTTACAACTGATGAGCTAATACTGATACATTATGACTAACTAAAGTCCACAGTTTACCTTAGGGTTTACCCTTTGTGTTTTACACTTTATGGGCTTTGACAAATGAATGACATGTATCTACCATTATAATATCCTACAGAATCGTTTCACTGTCCTAAAAATCCTCTACAATCCACCTATTCGTCCTTCCCTGCCTTGTCCCAAACCCGTGGCAACCACTGATCTTTTTACTGTCTCCATACACTTGTGCTGTTATCAGAATGCATTATAGATGGAAACCAAAATGTAAAGCCTTTTCAGATTGGCTTTTTTCATTCAGCAATATGCAAGTAAGGTTCCTCCATGTCTTCTGTTACTTGAGAGCTCACTTCTTTTTACCATCCACTCAATCATTGTACCTTGTAACCTTGTTATAATTGCTTACCAGTGTCAAGGTATTCTATTGTTGACTCCTCCAATTTTTCTACCTAGAGAATCATGTTATGTGTGAATATAGACAATTTTATCTCTTCCTTCTAAATCCAAGGTTATTTCCTTCACTTGTCATACTGTGTTAGCGATGACTTCCAGAAGGAGGCTAAAAAAGAGTGGTCAAAGGGGCCTCCTTCCTCCTTATCTTAACTGGGAAAGCATCTAGTTTCTCACCATTAAGTATGATGTTAGTGATAGGGCTGTTGTAGATGTGCTTTAACAAGTTGAAGAAGTTCCCTGTATTCCTAGTATGCTGAGATTTCTTATTGTGAATATGGGTTAAGATTTTGTGAAATGCTTTTCTGCACCTATTGGTATGATCATATGACTATTTTCCTTTTGCCTGTTGATGTGATGGGTTATGTGAACTGATTATCAAATGCTGAACCAGGACTGCATACCTGGAATAAACCCCACTTGGTCATGGTGTGAAGTTATATACTGTTGGATTCAGTTTGCTTATGACTTGTTGAGGATTTCTGCATCTATGTTCCAAGACATAGAGTTCTGTCTGCAGTTTCCCTTTCTTGTAATGTCTGCCTGGTTTTGCTACTACAGCAATGCTGGCCTCACAGAATGAGTTAGGAAGTATTTCTTCTGCTCTTACTTTTTGGAAGAGATTGTAGAGAACTGGTATTTCTTCCTGAAGTGTTTGGTAGAATTCACCAGTGAACACATTTGGGCCTGACACTCTCTGATTTGGAAGATTAAGTATTAACGCAATTTCTTTAACAGCTATATGCCTAGTCAGATCTTCCTGTGAGTTTTGGCAGATTGTGTCTTTCAAGGAATTGGTCCATTTCATCTAGGTTATGAAATTTGTGGACACAGAGTCATGCACAGTATTATTATCCTTTTAATGTCCATGAAATCAGTTATGACTTTCTTTCATTTCTGGTATTAGCACCTTGTATCTTCTCTTTTTCTTAGTTAATTTAGCTAAAGGTTTATCAGTTTGACCTTTCTGAATAACTAACTTTTGGTTTTACTGATTTCCTCTATTTTGTTTTTGATTTCACTGATTTCTGCTCTAATTATTATTTCTTTTGTTTCACTTACTCCGGATTTAATCAGCTCCTTATCCTAGTTTCCTAAGATGGAAGTTTAGACTCTTTGTGCAAGTTAAGATCATTTGTTTGTGTAACCTGGTTTATGTAATCTGACTGATGGTGTAATCTAGTATACCACCATTTTATACCCTGTCTCTCAATAAAAGCCCCACTCTAGCTTCACTCTGGCTCTGCTCCAGTCTCAACCCACCTTCTCCTCACAGAGTCAAATATCTCCAAGGGCACAGATCTGTCTCTGGGTATACTGGCCTCTGCCTTAGAGGGCAGTTACTTACAGAGGGTTTGTACAAAATGTAGGCTGAGGACTAGAGGACTCACACATGTACACTCAAGGCATCTCCTGGCTTGACCTGAACCATGGGTGAATGGGGAAAATGAGACTAGGGACTAGATATCCCTCTGTACTGAACACATTCTATTTGCCACTTTGTTATTTTGATTTATACATTCTAAATGGTTATGTATTACTTCTCTGGGCCTCCTTTTACAATGTAAGGCTGCTCAGCCCTTACACATATGAGAGATGTGCCTGATACGGTAACAACTGCTAAATTAGGAGTGTCTGTTCTCTGTTCACAACTATATTAAGTTGCATTATGCCCATGAAGCACATATGGTTTATATAAGGAATGATATGTGGATACCTAAGTCCTGTAAACTTAAGGGACACCTCACATAAGCATTTAAGGCTGTGACCCTAATTATTCCATTTATCTCTGCTTTTAAAAAGCTTCATATTCACGATTGCCAGGATGAGGGCTGCAGAAACGGTATGATTAACACAAGGGAACTTCTCGTGATGAAATCCTGATTCCTTTGTAATCCTAATGCAACAGAGACTCCAGATACCTTTTTGATTTTGTAACCTGTGCTGATGGTTACTCAAACTATTAAGTGATAAAATTTCACATAACTACACTGTACACAAAGTGCTTGTAAAAACTGTTGAAGTAGAAGTAGAAATAAGGACTGTATGTGACTTGGTACTGTAGTACCATCAACTTCCTGTGCTTGACAGTATACCATGGTTGTGGAAGATAGCATTAAAGGAAGGTTGGTGGAGGGCAAGTGAGAATTCTATGTATGACTGCAACCTATTACAAGTCTATTTTTTTATTTTACTATTTCTTTTTTTTTGGTTTTTAAAGCTTCACATGGCACAATATACATTTATAAATTATAATTTTTTATGTTTCCTAAAGATAAATATGGCATGAAAACCAAAAACACGACTTCTAATATATTACTTCTAAAAATAATCTTCAAGTTATATACCTCAAATTGAAAGGTTTCTCTTTAATATAAATTCTGACATAACCTAGTTTTTATTTTTGCTAAAAAAAAAAAATTGTTTTTACAAAATAAAAAATCTGCAATATTTTATACCAGTATTTGCTTGGTGACATTCAATGGAATGTTACTTAACAAGACTGTCCTGCATTTGTTGCAGTCTACTCTGGAGTAAAATAAGGCCAGTTTGTGTGGAGGAAGATTCCCGAACATTCAGGATATCCTGTCAACAGAGCTTCCGCCAGTGTGAATTCTTGTGTAATGGGTGCTGAACTGCAGCTCGACATTCCTAACATCCACTTCAATCGTTACGTTTTTCTCCTGCGTGTGTTCTTTGATGTACAATGAGGTTTGACTTCTGAGAGAAGGTTTTTCCACATGTGTTACATTCATAGGGCTTCTCCCCCGTGTGTGATCTCTGATGTTTAGCAAGGTCTGATTTACGGTAAAAAATTTTCCCACATTCATTACATTGACAAGATTTCTCTCCTGTGTGAGCCCTGTGATGCACTGTGAGGGATGATTTGTGACTGAAGGATTTTCCACATTCATTACATTCATAGGGTTTCTCCCCTGTGTGTTTTCTCTGATGTAAAATAAGTCCTGACTTCACACAGAAAGATTTTCCACATTCATTACATTTATAGGGCTTTTCTTCTGTATGAGTTCTCTGGTGGACAATTAAGGCTGACTTATGACAGAAAGCCTTTCCACATTCATTACACTCATAGGGTTTCTCACCTATGTGAATTCTCTGGTGCTGAGTGAGCTGAGACTTCTGGCAGAAGGTTTTCCCACATTCGTTACATTCATAGGGTTTCTCCCCTGTGTGTGTTCTATTATGTTTAGTTAGGTATGATTTATTATAGAAGATTTTCCCACATTCGTGACATTCAAAGGGCTTCTCCCCTGTATGTGTCCTATAATGTTGAGAGAGGGTAGACTTATGGCTGAAGAATTTCCCACATTCAGGACATGCAAAGGGCTTCTCCCCTGTGTGAGTTCTCTGATGTACTGTGAGGTCAGACTTCAAGCAAAAGGTTTTCCCACATTCATAGCATTCATAAGGTTTCAACCCTGTATGAATGATCTGGTGCCTAGTGAGTACTGACTTGTGGTAGAAAGTTTTCCCACAGGCATTACATTCGTAGGGTTTATCCCCTATGTGAGTTCTCTGATGTTGTGTAAGATGTGACTTCTGACAGAAAGATTTCCCACAGTCAGGACATTCAAAAGGTTTCTCACCTGTATGAGTTCTCTGATGCACTGTAAGGTGTGAATTCATACAGAAGGATTTCCCACATTCATAGCATTCATAGGGTTTCAGCCCTGTGTGTGTTCTCTGGTGTTTAGTGAGGTCTGACTTCTGGTAAAAAGTTTTCCCACATGCATTACACTGATAAGGTTTCTCCCCCGTATGTGTTCTCTGGTGTAACGTGAGGGCTGACTTGTGGCTGAAGGCTTTCCCACATTCACTGCACACATAGGGCTTCTCCCCTGTGTGTGACCTCTGATGTTTAGTGAGGTTTGACTTCTCCCAGAAAGTTTTTCCACATTCATTACACTGAAAGCGTTTCTCTCCTGTGTGTATCCTCTGATGTCGAGTGAGGTGGGACTTCTCCCAAAACGCTCTCCCACATTCATTACATTCAAAGTGTTTTTCTCCTTTATGAGTTTTCTGAAGTTGTGAAAGGCATAAATTCCTCCTGAAATTATTCCCACTTTCATTACAGTCATAGTGTTTCATATGTGCCCCATGAGGTTTCAAAAGGGTAGACTTCACACATAAGGATTTTCCACAACCACTAAATCCATAGTGATTTTCCTTTGAGGAATTTATCTGGTGGAATAAGAAGGAGGAATTATCAAAGAAGGTTCTCCCATATTCATTACATTCACAGTCATTCCCTTCTGCAATCTCTTTCCTGTATGTACTGAATATTGCCTTTTCAAGGAAGGTTTCTTGATAAATGTTATGATCAAAATTTTGCTCTAAAGTTTGAATCTTCTCATGATGAATAGGGTCCTCATCATGACTGAAAGTTTTCCCATTTTTAAAAAATTCACTTTTCTCTCTAGTATGAGTTTTCTCGTGTTTAATACTGAGTAGTAATTTTCCACAGGCATTAAATTCATCAGTCTTTTTTCCTAAATAGTTTTTCTTATTGATAAACAATTCTGAAATACAGTTGAAACTCACTCCACATGAGTCACACTGACAGAGGGTTTTGCTGGAAGGAAAAGAGTTTGTGTCCAAGTTATGTGGTTTTCCTACTACGTTGCCTCGTTCTTTAGTTAGCATTTTATTATTGATGAATGCAACTTCCCACACATGTTTAGGCTGGTTTTCGTGGCTCCTTTCTTTCTTGTGATCAGTTTTCCAGATTTCTAAAAATAAGAAAAATTAACCTTACATATGAATAGTAACACATTTTTAAGGAATGCAATGTATATACAAATGCCCTATGTTAGAGCTGATTTGGATTTCTTGTCTAGTCTCCAGAGAAGAAAATAACTGTAGGTACATATTCTTTCTATTCTTGAGTTTGAGATGAAAAAAGAAAAATGAAAACAAGAAACAAAAAGCCTGGCATAATGGGAAAAGGGAGCGGAAACTGGCTATTACAACACATACATCTGCACTCTGGTGTCAGAAGAATAACAGCACCCGTTAAAAGCTGAATGTGTCCATCTGTCCTCCAAAAAACTGTATGGATCAATATAAGGAGAGCAAATAAAATTACCTACAACAACCCATGACTTCAGCATAACCAGGACATACAAAATACTACGAACTTCAAATCGCCACTAAGGAAAGAAACATTTAAATACAGAAAAAACTGATAATGAGCCCACATCCGTTGAGAGTCAGCTAGAGACTGTGGCAACCACACATAAAGAAGAGACAGGGAACTCAGAGATGATTAAATACAAATAAAATCATTCCCAGAAAGGGGAAGTCCCACTATGAGTGGGGAAACACTGAGATGACATTTCAGTTCTGATACATGACAGCTCAGACCACTGGGAACTCCAACAGAAGGGACTTGTAGTAAATGGGAACTGAGGACGCAAGCGCTGATCCAGGTCAGAAATAAAACTGTAAGAAGGACAAAGTGATCTTAGAATAGACTTAAATTACAAGGAGCCAGTTATGAACTGAATTGTGTGAGTTTTCTGAAGTTGTGAAAGGCATAAATTCCTCCTGAAATTATTCCCACTTTCCCCCAATGTGACTATATCTGGAGACAGAGCCTTTAAGGAGGCAATTAAGGTTGAATTAGGTCATCAGCGTGTAGTGCTAATCTGATAGGAACAGCATCCTTATTAGAAGCAGAAGAGACACCAACTTGCTTGCTCCCACTGTGTGCACAGAAAAAAAGCCACGTGAGGCTACAGCAAGAAGGTGCCGTCTACAAGCTGAAGAGACAGGGCTCACCAGAAACCAACCCTGCTGGCACCTTCCCCTCGGCCTTACAGACTCCAGAAGGGTGAGAAAACAAATTTCGGTTATTTAGGTCACCCAGTCTGTGGTGTTTTGTTATAGCAGTCCAGGCAGACTAACAGAGAGTCCGAAGAGAAAAGAGATTTCACTGAAATTTTAATAAATAGCCCTGAAAAAAGGCATGACAACAGAGCAGAAAGAAGAATGACAAGAAAACCAAAGAAAGAAGAACTGGTTCACAAAGAAGATTCTGGATAAGGAAGGTAGTCTGCAAAATAAATAAAAGATTTTAAAATAAAATTATATGCATAGGGCACCTGGGTGGCTCAGTTGGTTAAGCAACTGCCTTCGGCTCAGGTCATGATCCTGGAGTCCCTGGATCGAGTCCCGCATTGGGCTCCCTGCTCGGCAGGGAGCCTGCTTCTGCCTCTGACCCTCCCCCCTCTCATGTGCTCTCTCTTTCTCATTCTCTCTGTCTCAAATAAATAAATAAAATCTTTAAAAAAAAAATTATATGCATATATGAGGATTATACTCTCTACAGAAAAAAAAAAAACAATGAATATTAAAAACCATAATATGGGGCGCCTGGGTGGCTCAGTAGTTAAGGGTCTGCCTTCAGTACAGGTCATTATCTCAGGGTTCTGGGATCGAGCCCCACATCAGGCTTCCTGCTCAGCGGGGAGTCTGTTTCTCCCTCTCCCACTCCCCCTGCTTGTGTTCCCTCTCTCGCTGTGTCTCTCTCTGTCAAATAAATAAATAAAATCTTTAAAAACAAAACAAAAAGAAACCATAATCTAAGAAAACTGCCCCAAAGAGGACCTCATCTACACAGGATAAAGAACCACCATGAACCTGGGCAAAGCTGACCTGGAACAGTCTTCTCTAAGGAACACTTTAATAAAACTACTAGACCTTAAAAATGAAACATCCTCTGGGCAAAAAGACTAAATCTCAATAAACAAAAATGTAGATTTGGCAATAGATTCTGTCACCAATAAAGCGAGGCTCAGTGGAGGAATATTTTCAAGTTAAAAAAAAAAGTGGGAATAAAGGATTTGATAGGGAACACTGGGAGAAAAACTGAGCAGTGGATAATTTAATTGTAGGCCTAAGACCAAAAGAAAGTTGAGAACAAGAATAGAAGAATAATATATAAATGTTAGAGGCGCCTGGGTGGCTCAGTTGGTTAAGCGTCTACCTTCGGCTCAGGTCATGATCTCAAGGTCCTAGGATCAAGCCCTGAATCGGGCTCCCTGCTCAGCAGGGAGTCTGCCTTTCCCTCTCCCTCTGCACTACCCCCTACTCATGCTCTCCTTCCTCTCACGTTCTTGCTCTCAAATAAATAAGATCTTTAAATACATACATACATACATATGTGTGTGTGTATATATATATATATAAATGCTATATATTCTAGTGAAGTAGAAATGATGCAATTAGAAGACCTATAGGAAACAGGAATGAAAAGAAGAAATAAGAATAAGCTCAGAGATAGCCATATAAATAATAGCCTAAAGAATGTCACTAAAAGCTAAAAAATCAAATAGAGAGTTAAATAAGGAAATGGGCAAACTAAGGCCAGTATAAAAGATATTAGTGTAAAAATAACTATGAGAACAAAAACATGAAAATTTCCTAATTGACTCCCTCCAGAAAGAAAAAAAGACCAAATAGAATTCAGTAAATGTGATACACTCATTAAATGTAACAAAATGACAGAAATGAGACCAAACATGAATCATATTAATAAATATGAATGGGTTTACTTCATCAATTAACAAAATGACTTCAAACTGTGTCACAAGCAAAATCCAAATTGATGCTGTAAAGGGGAAATACAATGATAAAAACGGACTCAAAAAAGCTAAAATCAAAGGGATGGACCATATTATTCCAGACAAAGGGAAACAATAAGGAAGCAGAGATGCAATCTTGTTATCAGTAAGGACAAAAAAAAAAAAAAAACCAAAAAAACCCCCCCACTTTACAAGGCTAAAATCCTCAACTTTGAATGCGAAAATCACGGTTATGAATATCTAGAGTCCAAAAACCCTTCATGAAGCAGAACTCAGAAAAGCAAGGAAAAAATAAAATACACTATTCAAAATATTATTTCAAGAAAGATCAAAAAGCAGAAAGTTGGGGGTGTAGAAGACTTAATGACAACAATCAAGACATATATCTTTATAATGTCAAAACTTGTAATAGAAAATACACTTCCATCTCAAGGGTGCATGAAACACTAAAAAAAAAAAAACTGATATAGGTAACATGCTCAGGTAATCCTACAGTAAAACTAGAAATTATTGGGGAAACTAAATTTATTGAGATTTAGTCTTTTTGCCCAGAGGATGTTTCTTCATTCAGCTTCCACTGGGACTTCAAAAACAAACAACTCTCTAGTAAAAACTGCTCTTTGGTGAAAAAGGAAACAAACCAAAGCTGAAGTTCTAAACCAAAATAACTAGTGAAAATATTACTTAGGAGTACATATGGGATACACATACTGATCAGAGATTTCATAGCATTAAATGTTTTGTATCAGTGAAAAAGAATGAAAAATAAGTAAACCCTTGACTCAAAAAATAAAAAAAAAAACTAGAAGAAACAATAGTAATGTAAAAGAATGAAGTAGAAAGCACAAAGAGGGAAATAATAAAGATAAAAACAGATAAACACAAATTTAAAATAATACAGATAAAAACTTTCTCTTCAGGGCGCCTGGGTGGCTCAGTCATTAAGCGTCTGCCTTCAGCTCAGGTCATGATCCCGGGTCCTGGGATCCAGCCCCTCATCGGGCTCCCTGCTCCACGGGAATCCTGCTTCTCCCTCTCCCACTCCCCCTGCTTGTGTTCCCTCTCTCACTGTGTCTCTCTCTGTCAAATAAATAAAATCTTAAAAAAAAAAAACCAAAAAACCTCTCTCTTCATCTTTAAGGTCTACTAGTTTTATTAAAGGCTGTCTTTAGTGAACCATTCCACATCAGTTTTCCCAGGTTCCTGGTGGTCTCTGAATATGTGGATCAGGTCTTCTTTTATTTTTGGACAGTTTACTTAGATTAGAAGTTAATGGAACAGAAACAGAAAAGAGCAGAACAAGAGTTAAGTCAAAAAAGCTGGTTCTTTGCAAATAATCAAGTCAAAAAGTGGGCAGAGGATATGAAAAGACACTTCTCCGAAGAAAACATACAAATGGCTAACAGACACATGAAAAAATGTTTATCATCATTAGCCATCAGGGAAATCCAAATCAAAACCACACTGAGATACCACCTTACACCAGTTAGAATGGCAAAAATGGACAGAGAAAGAAACAACAAATGTTGGAGAGGTTGTGGAGAAAGGGGAACCCTCTTACACTGTTGGTGGGAATGCAAGTTGGTACAGCCACTTTGGAAAACAGTGTGGAGGGTCCTCAAAAATTTAAAAATAGAGCTACTCTATGACCCAGCAATTGCACTACTGGGTATTTACCCCAAAGACACAGATGTAGTGAAAAGAATGGCCATATGCACCCCAATGTTCATAGCAGCAATGTCCACAATAGCCAAACTGTGGAAAGAGCTGAGATGTCCTTCAACAGATGAATGGATAAAGATGTGGTCCATATATACAATGGAATATTACTCAGCCATCAGAAAGGATGAATACCCAACTTTTACATCAACATGGATGGGACTGGAGGAGATTATGCTAAGTGAAATAAGTCAAGCAGAGAAAGTCAATTATCATATGGTTTCACTTATTTGTGGAACATAAGGAATAGCATGGAGGACGTTAGGAGAAGGAAGGGAAAAATGGGGGGGGGGGAATTGGAGGGAGAGATGAACCATGAGAGACTATGGACCTGAGAAACAAACAGGGTTTTAGAGGGGATGGGGGAGGGGGGATTGGTTAGCCCGGTGGTATTAAGGAAGGCACGTACTGCATGGAGCACTGGG